GGTGGTGGTGGAGATTTGTAAACCGGAGGAGGAGAGTAGTGCTTAACCGGTGGTGGTGGGGAAGAGTAGTAGTAATCTGCGGTGGTTTGAGAAACAGAACCAAGAGAAAATGCTAAGACAAGCAAAGTTGCAGCCAAAGAGGCCATTGGTGATCCCATTTTTGTTATGTGTTTATGTTTTTGTTTGATGCTCTTACTCTCTCCCCTACTAGCCCTTTATATAGCTTTTCAATCTCACTTTTATTTACTTTTATTTCTCATAGTAAATGGCATTTTTGGTCATATGTAAAGAAAACCAACAATAATTGAATATAAAATACAAAGAAAGACAATGAGTATGGTCTCTCTCTGCTTCATTAGTTTTCTTTTTTCCCTTCTCTATTATTTTTGGTCGTCGTTGATCGACATGTTCTGCATGTTCCTAACATATCAAAATACTATTAGATAGAGAACACTGAATCTAAAGCTAACACAATGTTACTTAGTGATATTAATGGAACCAACAACAAAATCATGTACCGACATTATTCTAGAAAATGTTAAACGAGAAGAGATAGATGATCCCAAACCCAAAAGAGGGAAAATATGAGAGATTTTTTTTCTTTTTCTTTTGGTCACAAATATGAGAGAATTTAACAACACATTATGAGTATGGAAAATGTAACAATGGGTGCATTTACCAACACATGAAGATTCTTTATTTTAATTAACCAAAACGAGGCCTTGTAAAGTATTCTTTATTTGTACATTTTTGTTGTTGTAATGTTAAATTTATTGATCAACAAAACAATAAGATATGAAATGAATTATTGGTATACATTTTGAAGCATTCCTAATCGAGTAATAACTTAAAATCTCTATATTTTCGCATGATCCACAAAATAGCCTCAAGGATATTCATATTTATCATGCCAATAAACTAAACTATTTAGTCTTCTTCTAAGTCTTTCAATTCATGTTCATAAATGTAATTAGAATAGACAACTAAACAATCAAGTAGTGCCATGTTGTGATTTCATCTAATTTTGTTGTTGTTGTAATAGAAACTACAATATTGTTAAAAGATATAAGAAAAATTAACTTTCTAAATTGGAAAAAAAAAAAAAGAAGCAACGCGTTAAAGTCTTAAAGATAGGCGTCCGAGTTGAACGTAGAAGGAGCATTGAAAGATAAGGTGGTCCATCATGCACTGGATTCACTCTCTTGCCGGTGACAGTCAAAATTTTGATTAGTTTCCTTGTATTTGGGTTTTAGTTCACACGTTCTTCGTTTTATAACATGTTTCTTGTC